CAAAGAAGTTTACATAAGGAGAATATGTAACTTTGTGGTAATACATTTTATTCTACAGTTGGTCTGAAAGACTCTATGATACTTGATTTGTTGAAGTGCTCGCACATACACTCTCCAGATGCTTTCCTCTTGTGAACAGCCTTATTCCTCAATTAGGTTAGATTAGAATTTAGCACTGGGTATTCAGTGCATAGTCTACACAGCAAGCCAAAGACTGCCAAGGTGAGCATACACTGTACGCTAGCCAATGGTCTATTATTGCTAGACTCAGGAAAAACTACTAAAACTGCAGGGAGCAGATAATGAAGACCTCCCCTTTTATTCTTATTTAATTGGAATGATAAATATCCTCTGCAGTTTGTGATAACAGCTGTTATCATCAGGCCAGACACGAGTTAGACTGGTTATGTACTTTCATTGACCATAGCACACTGTGCAGGTCACATTAACGACAACCCCAAAACTAGATCATCCTTTTTCCATTATATCCACGGAAAAGTAATAGCACATAACCTACAGATTTTCTTTTAGTTTTTGGGGGCCAAAATGTGAGGTTCCACAAAGAAATATCACCATGCTGCCACACAGCATCATAGGGAAGCATCATCAGGAGACAGGAGCACTCCATGTTAATATGGAACTGAGAAAAGGCAGCAACCTCCTTAAACGGCTACATCTGAAGACATTTGCCTGGAAAATAATAACGGTAACCTACTAATTTTGGCTGCTCTCAAATAGGCACATTTTTCAAGAATATTCAAATGAAGAAACACCATTTCAAACGCATCACTAATTGCTACTATCCCAGCCAGACTGAAAGTCAATGAGGCAAGAGTTATTACTTTGAGCACTTGGTGTGTCGAGAAATCCTGACTCCCAAATCAAAATGTTGAGTCTCCAACCTCTGCCATGAGTTTACCTGCTCCCCCAATTTTCCTGGGATTTCTCTATGTGAGGAATGTGTCCCTCCCACCCAATACCAGCCACAGACAGAAGTCTGAAAAGGAAGGAGTGTCATTCACCGTCTTGTACAAACCTCCTGGTTTTTTCTCTAGCCTTACCTTACAAAATAAGAACCGCTAGCTAAGCAAGCTCTTTATCGTGGCTTAACCCCAGAAAGGTGCGAAGCATAAGGAGACTGCATGCCAAGTGTAACCCACATAGCAGACGTGCCGGTTGCGTTGGACTGCGGGATCATGGGCGCGGTCTGTGCCAGCGCCAAACGGGGCAGAGGCGGGTGATGGACTGTAAAGGAGGGACGGGAAGTTTTGTGCTGAAGAGAAGCTAGCTTAATAGACAAAGAAGCGTTAGCAGATTGGACAGAAGCAGCAGAAGGTGATGGTAAAAAAGCTTCGTTAGCTGGAATGGACGGCAAGTTCTGCAGAAGCACAGGCTCAGAGTTAGAAGTGAGTAATGGAGGAGGAGGTGGCAATGAAACGTTAGGAGGTGGGGGGGGAGGGGTATGAAAAACAGATTGCATTGGAGCTCTGTTTAGGTGCTGGGCAGGTCTGTTCTCACTAGATGTTACTAAGCTAGAGGAGGGGGACTGGAAGGATGAGGATGAGGTGGTGGCAACAGCCTGCAGAGGGTTTAAGCTTAGCATTGTGCCGCTAGAGACAGCACTGCTGCTGAAACTGGCTCCAAATTGATGAGAAGAGGAGGCAGAAGGCACCGCATGGTTAAAAATACCTGCAAACAGGAGAGAAAAACTCAGCTTCAACAGATGGGCTTTGTACAGTCACAAGTGACAAGAGAAACAAAACTAAAAGCAAAAAAAGCAAAATTATAGCAGTTACAGCCCCATACAAAATATGCAGCATGAAACAGCAGCAAGCAATGAGAGATAATGGTGCAGGCCAGGAGGTACAAGAAATGTACTTACCTTCCTAAATGCCAGGAGGGAAAATGGCCAAATAAGCAGAACTTTTGGTTCTATGCTTCACAGGCAACCGTGCAATGAGGTTACCTGGTCATTCAAGTTGCATATCTGAACGCTCAAATTGCTGCTCATCTCAAACTCCCCTACCCAACTTACCCACTTACAAGACAGCAGAGGGGAAAGCGTATTTCCATCAAATCTACAGAGTAGAGCTAGACTGCTAAAGTGTGAGAGTTAGGATTTCCCGACATGGTGCATGAATAATTATGGGCAGATGGTCTGAACCTGCCAACGCTGTGGATTAAAGGAAGAACTGCTCCTATGTTCTTCTCTCCAGAGTTTGCCTCACGTTTGGGACCACAGATGCAAAGCCTGTGCAGAATCACAAAGTGCCAGAGGTGCATAAGGCATTAGCTTTTCATGGCCAAGGAACACTCCCTCCTTATCAGCAGAAATCATCATAATCCTATGTAAATCATATGATCTCATCTGAAAAGGATACTAATGTTTAGCATGATTAAGAGGAATCTCAATTTTCACTGAAGCTGACAAGTCAGATATTCCTCACTGCACAGAGAGGGTAACATGGCAATTTAAACCTTTAGTATTGCAGACAAACCTAAACCAATTCCAACATAGCAACAACTGAAACAGCTATATGCTATGAAATCAAGTCTGGTATATTCTCATTTCTTTAGGAAGATGCAATTATATGTTCATCTAGCAGACAAGAAAGCTCACAACAGTTCAGTCCTCAGCCCTGGAATAATTCTGGCATTCCCGAGACATGGGCTATGCTGGGTGGACCTCCTCCACCACCTGCAGAAGTGAAAGGGTTTCATACCTGGAGAGGCATTGCCATCCTTTCCTCTAGCCCTGCCTTATACCAGAGAAACAGAGCTCTGCCTACCTCCAACTGTTCCACCTGTAACCCCAGAAGAGAAGTTCCCCATAGTGTGAGAATTAGTCAGTCTGGTTGCAGCTGATGACACGTGGACCAGACTGGCAGCAGCTGGCATTGTATTAAATAAAGACTGCAATACTGAAGAGTTCGTCACCGAGTTGAGGTTTGCTGGCAAGGCCATGGGGCCAAGGGGGAACTGCGATCCAGTGGTCAAAGTGTTTAAGAAAGGATGATGCTGAACAGATGCTGGGTTGCCTGCTGAGGAAACAGCAGTGGAAAGGCTTTTGCCATTTAGAAGGCCACCCGAAGATACAGCAGCAGCAGAAATGAAAAGGTTGTGGCCATTTTTAAACTCCACATCTCGGTCCCGTCCTTTGCTGGCCTTTCCATTATGCTGCAAAGAGCTTTTTTCTGAAGAGCCCCCTGTACGAATGTTTAATTCGCTCATCTCTTTGCTTTTGACCCCTGACCGATTTAAGTCTTCCCCTTTCATGCTGCCTAGGCCTTCAAGCTGCCTCTTGTTCAAAAAAGGATTTGTGTCTGAGACACCCAAGTCTTTGCTTCGCTGCGACTGAAAACTCAGAGAGGAATTAAGGGATGTCGCATCTGAAGTCTTATGAGGAAGAGAAGCACCATCAATAAAGCTGTGTAAACCAATATCTGTTGTCAGTCCACCGTTGTATGTGAATCCATTTGCAGCATTTGTGCTGGGGCTGAGTCCATCTGTTCCAGAGGAGGGCATGGTGACATTTTTTCTCGCATGTGCCGTGATCTTGCTGTCAATGGCCATGCCATCCTCAGAGGACGGCCTGAAGGCAAACAGTGAATTCTGGCTCAGAGATGAAACAGCCTGCAAGGGACTATCTGTAGTTTTGGTCAGGTTGATGTCAGATATTGGTGAAAAGGTAGACTTCCATTTACTGCTATTCATGTTCTCGCTGGCTTGCGCTTGTTTCCTCCCAGCTAAACTGCCACCTAGTTTGGAAGGCAGAGTTGCAAGCATGAGTGAACAGAATTCATTTAATCTTTAGTAAGCAGAACTGGTTCAACAACTGACTCAGTTTAATAATTCATTCTACTTTTTGATGAGAAGCAGTTTAAAACAGCTGTTCAAATCACCTTCAATTTTAGTTTAACACACCCCAAAACGTCTGTGTCAGTGTAATCTGCACTGCCATCCACCTTCATATCAAAGACCCCACCTGCTCATGATAGATAGGGAGATAGATAGACAGTCTCAGGCCTTCATGTCTAGGAAGAAATGTAACTGAAGTGTATCACCATTTCCACCTCCACCAACCATTCTATTCCACGTGCAAACAAGGCAAGACTGCAACTGGTGGCCACAAATTTAAAGGGGCTTTTGTAGCCACCAGCTATGAACAGAATAGATGCAAGGTTTGCAACGTGATGAAGGCAATCTGCCTAAAGGATCTCACATGCACAAACTTCTGGTTTCAAAGGAATATCTGTGGACTTCTGATCCAATACACAGTACATGATTCCACCCAAGGAGCCTGCAATCACCTGACAACCTACAAACTATGGGCCAGCAGAGAGGCCATCCTCACATGCACTGTGAATGCCTTTAAACAATGGGTATTCCCCACACCTACCATTTTCAACAGTCTTTTGTGGAGATTTGCTTTCCAATGATATTGTTGCAATTTTTCTCTCAATTCTAATTTAAAAAGAAAAGAAAGGTTATTTTAAACAGCAGGCATGGAATTTTACTGCGATTCACATGTGGTCAGCTTTTCACTGCTCTTTTCCAATATGTTTTACCGTACAGAGCAATTATAAATAACATTGTGGCAGGAGGTAAAGAACAGATGCAAGCAGCCAAAATGGAAGGGGAATTTCTATACTCAGAAGTTCCCCAAATGTGGTACATTTATATACTGGTGCCAACACTCCTGCAAAATGTCGTGGAGGGAACGCAACTGATCAACACAACTAATGGAACAAGGTTCCTTACAGTCATTCAGTTTTCTCAACACCTTTCCTATTTTGGGGTGTGCACATGCTGAAAACAAACGCTCTAGCTTAGCAAGTATTATGGGTCAATGAGATCGTTCTCCAAGAAAAAGGATCCAACAGACCAAACTTTACATGCATTACCCCAACTCAGAAACACATCTTTTTCAGACAGGCCTGAGATCTACATCACTATATTCACCTGGTACTGTTGTGCTCATCTTCAGACCCCTGCTCTTCATCAGATGTCAGCGGTGAGTAATGAATGCCGTTGGTCTGAATGAGGGGCTTCTCCTTTTTCAGCACTGGGGGCTGGTCATTGTCCTGGTAGGGAACAGGAGAGTTCTTCAGGGAGTTTTCAGGGGAGGAAATGGCTGTTATTTCTAAAGGCTGATTAATGTTATTGACCTGGGATAGGGAGGGAAAAAAAACAAAGTTAAGGATGAAAATATTCTTTCAGTAAAAGATAGGATATTCGCTCCCTCATCATTTAGCTTCGTGACTAAACACATGTGCAACACAGAGAGGCATGCTGTGCTTCAGCTTCACAAACCTAAAATCCCTGCACAATTCTTAATTGCCTTTCTGAGCCTTCATGCTTGGAGTATCTGACTTTAGAGATAAAATGAGATGGTTAAAAAGCAGACAAAAATGGGCAGAAACAATTCTTCTTACACACCAATAACAAATCAAAGAGCAAATCACAATAGTGGAATCCACAAGATGCCAAATCAGAAACAGCTGTTGTGCCTGTTGCAGTAGTATTTACTGGGACTTCAGCTATTAACGTCTGTTTTTCACCAGGGTTTTGCAGGCAAAACTCAAAATTCTGACAACCAAAAAAACCCACAAAAACAATCAACCCTCCCCCCCTACCACACCCTGCATGTCCACACACAGCTCCCCAGTAGCATCAGAACCTTTTCAGTCTGGCAGCAGAACGGAGACATGGACCTATGGAACTGGAAGCTGACAAAGTGTTTGTACCTGACACCATCTTCCAAGATTGGCCTATGCAGGGTGCTCTTTGCTCTCTGCCCCTGATGGAGCTGTACAGTCACCAGAAGCTGTCAGACTGCACATGCTTTGGTAGATTCCTAGTGGCAGTTGTGTGCCAAGAGAAGGTTGTAAGTCCCTTAAGAATTTTACCTCTAAACAAAACCACGTCAGAAAGGATAACACACTATTGCGCTCCATGATGACTTAAGCAATGAGAACTGTTTTTAAATATTCTATTTAAAACTTTTTCATAGGGAAGGTAAGTTCCCTCTAAAGAACTAGGCAGTTCATTGCAATTCTCAACACCCATCCTACAGGTAAGCTTCCAAGAACGATGCAAAAAGCCCCATGCCTTAAACCCAACTTCACCAAATCATAATTATTTAGTTTCGTGCTTACCATGGAGTGAATATTGAGTGGTGACCCCGAAGGCTGAGTAAACAGTCCAGCCACTGTTGGTAAGGATTTGCGTTTGGGGGACACCCCAGAGCTCACGCTGAGATTTCCAGTAGCAGATCTCTTCCTTCGACCTCGTTTCTTCCCATCTTGCATGTATGCTTGACCACAGTCCAGCCGAATGCTCGAGGTCAGGGGGCTGTGCTTGTTGGAAGGAGATTGTTTTACATTTCCTGTATTAGGAGAGATTGTAAAGATGATTCTTCTCTTGGCCTCGTTCTCGGGATCTGAAAATGCTGCATCAGACTGAAGATCCCCCTTTGTTCCTTCAGCAAACATCTTCTGAGCATCTGCATACTGCAATACCCCTACCAGGCTCTGGGAGGCTCCGTTTAACCTGGGGCTTGTTGAGTGCTGGTGAGCAGGGGAGTTTTGCCCCGAGTTCCGTGACTGCATCATTAGCAAAGGGTGTTGTGGAGTGGAACTCCGAGACCCTACCGAGTTAAACAGACTCCCAGAGTCGTCCAGAGCTGCCTGATCAACACTATGGTTAAGTTGGGCTGGGCTGTTTGAAAGAGTTCCATTGACTGCCACGGAGCCAGAAGAATAAGAAAAACCTGTTGAAAGGGAAAGTATCACTCAGCAGAAGCAATGATGTATACCTTACAGTGCTAGGTTTCTGGAGTAGCTATTGAGTGTTTCACCAATGTTTCCATCCTAGAGCAGCGGGCCATTCTGTCAAAGTAGTAACTGCAGAGCATTTGGTAGCTGTAAATTATACAGCTAATTCTGTAAATCTGCTCTTTACACAGTAAAATGGTTGTATGGGAGCTGGTGAATTAAGTTAAATTTGTCATCTGGCATGGCTCCTTTTTGCTGATTCAGGAACATATGGGAGTACTAGGGAAGCATCCTGTTTTTATCAGGTTAATAGAACTCAAGTGCCTTGCTCAATCTAAGAAGCTCATCTTGACAACCAAGATCCTCTGCTCCCAGCTCATTTCTCTACCCGCTGAGCCATACACCAGCAATCCATTTCTTCCTAAAGAGGGACGCAGGCCCTGCCACCAATACCACCTTTCCCTCCCCCACAACCTAGCCAAAAGGAAGCAATGAGATGACTGGTAGATCTGGTAGAGCAAGGCAGGGAAGTAGGAGAGAAGGAAAAAAAAAAGAGATGAATTTAGGTTATTAGGTAAGCTTTTATAATAGATAGCTTATATAATAGATAGCTAGGAATGGTGGAAACCCAATGATACTCTGCAACACCCTTCTGTTGATCCAGGAATGACTACTGAATTCAGAAGGAGCTGAGAGAAATCCTACCGTAGGCCCCCACAGATGGTGAGCATGAAGGAAGAGGGGCAAGTCTAGTGAGGACAGCTTCCTACAGGCTAGCTAAAAATTGTGCTCACTTGAGCCATTTGCCTTAAGAAGCCTTAGTATTTTCCCCAGAGGCTGGTTTTACTTTTTGGGAAACAGTTCCTGCCCCTGGAATGGGCTGTGTGAGTGATGGGGGGTTTGCTAAGCTCCCTACTTTTGGGACCAGTTGTCAAATCCCCAGCTGGCTTCCCATAGCGCTGAAAAAGGCCCAAAGAACTTGCTGACCTTATCTCTAGCAGGGTTTTGTTGGGGAAGGTGCTCAGGAGCTGATGTTCTGCTTAAGCAACAGGGTCCATATTCAGTGGTATGGCTGGGGCTAGAATTTCCTTAAAGGCAAGGGCATCCTCTGTTTCATCCTTTCTTTGAGAGTTATGAGAGGAGGAGGAGCCAGAGGCACAACCTGGTCTGTATTTTTTTATTTGTCTTACAGGGACTACAGCTAAGAGAACCAAGACTAAAAAAAGGGGACCGTAAGCAAGTATGAAATTGGATGTCGTAAAATTTTATATATACAGATGCTGGACGAGAGCCTAAGGGGGACTTCAGAACCAACCAACCAACAAGAGCATGCTGTCCAAAATTGTTTATTGTTTGCAGTTCTTTTGTTTTTGAGCCTAAATGTGTTTTCAGTAATATATTGCTCCTCACTTAATCTTATTTCTCAGCTTTATTTCAACCCTAATCCACCTCCACCCTTCCTCCTCAAGCCGAGAATAGAAAACTGATAGAAAGTGCACGGCAAATCCAGCACACTGCATCCCAGGTGCTCTAGACCAGTGGTTCTCCCCCTTTTCAATCCTGCAGCTGACCACAGGAAGTCAGAGCATACCACACGTAATTCAGGAAACAGAAGTAATCCAGCTGGAACTGGAAGTAGTGTAATGCAGCTGTCTCAGTGCAGCACTGTGAACAAGCTACATAGCTCTGCTGAGAGGCAAAGCAGTAACACTGCTTCTTTCTGTTCTTTAGCTTACACAGAGCTAGCTCAGGTAACCTGAGAACTAGCCCTACATGTACTAGCAGCTAGCTCCTGATTTGGGAGGGAGCCAGCTGGCAGAGTGAGAACACTGCAGGGCTGAGGAATTGGCCGACGCTCCTTCCAGCCTCCATCTTATCCATCTTAGTGGCCAGCAGGCGAGAACCACCGCTCTGGGCTGCAAGTGCCGAAAACCTCATACATAATAGATGGTGTTATCACTACGACTGAAAGTCTCCAGGGAAAATGCGTTACCTGAGGTAGCCAAAGCCAGTGGCTTGTTTCCAGCAGCATTGCTTATGCCATTATGAGAACTAGCACCAATCTGCTTTTCAAGTGTTGATGAGTCTCTATTCTGATGAACTGGACTTGGTGTGCTTCTCTGGAAAGAGGAGAAAAACCAGCCACATCATTCCAGGATGTATGTTCCGCAGCTTCTGATCTCACAGAATAGATGTGCATTCACTGAGCTCTCTTTAATAGACTCTGCGTACCCCAAATCTTATGGAGACTTTGCATGTTTTGTGAAAAATACATTACTCTACACTGCACTGATGTCTTTAAACCAGCAGGCACCCTGGCAACTTTCTGCTGGGTATACTACATGAGCTGTGGTGACTCCATATCCTAGCATGTAACAATCTTTCCATCCCCATACATCATTGCATACTACAGTACAATTATCCCTGAAGACCACACTTACGCTACTGGTGAGAGCCCGGCAGCAGACTGCACTGTTGCGTGTCATGGGATTTTATCTGATCATCCCAAAGATGGCATTGCTGATATGCAATGAATATACCTCCCGCCAAGAAAATGTCTGGCAACAGGGATGGAAATCAACGCTTAAGATCTGTAACAGCCATGAAAGGAGTGTACAGGAATTAAAGCCCTCAAAGAACCTAAGCCTACATATGGTTCTTAATACTACGCTTCAGTTTGCTTCTCAGAACGGCTCATTTCTCATTAAATGTAACATACTCCAAAAGCACAAAAAAATGCATAAATGGTAAAGTTCTATGTGATGAGAACCTGAGCGGTTAAAACAACTGTAAACCTTTGCTCAGAAAACGACACCAAGGAGGAAAAATGATCATACACCTTAATGCAAAACATGAACTCAAAATATCCACCATGGGCTATGCTTTGTTTCTGTCTCTACTGTAACTACAATTCAAGCTAAAAACCTGCTTACATACGTTTGACCACTATTCCAGCTATTACACAGTTAAGAATCATTGATTAGACAAGACCTAAAAGCATTCCCAAAAGTGGATTAGCAGTTTGGACTGTCCAACATTTAGCCTAATTAGGGGACACAAATAAGTATTATTTGTACTGTGGTAGCCTGTAAGTGCCACAGTTTTGAATCAGGACTGTCAGCATGTCTAAACATGGTCCCCTGCTGCAAACAGTTTAGATCCAGAGTACAATGTGGAAACGTTATCCATAACACTAGCATAGAGGGAAAGAAAACAGCAGGCTGAACTGTGACCTCAGTTTCCAGACAGCTCTTTCCACATGGATGAGTGATGCACTGAAACTTGGGGCCTGGTGTCATCCGTATGTACTGCTGTTCTCAGGAAGTCTCCATGCTGAACATCCAATGCAGAAAGCCAGATGGTCAGAGGATGCAAGTCACCAACCTTCAGCAGAGCTATCATACATTGAGCCATCACAGGTGTCATTGTCTAGAGACATCTTCCAAAGAAAGATCTCTCTCAAGGAAAGATATCATGAAGCATTTGCCTCTACATGCATAGGAGCAGAGAGCTGAAAGAGAATTTCTGTGACTGACACGACCTTCCCTCTACGTGAGGAAATGCTGTCTCTGCCTCCAACTAGGGAGACGGACATTCTCCTACAACTACAAGACCATCAGCTGACAACAGGGACAAGAAGCACAAGACCACAACACAACTACATTCTCACACTGCAGCTGGGTATGGCCCTCGTGCCATATCTCATATTCAAGTTATCAGAGAGAGAACCTATCTAGGTCAACTCCAAGTTTGTCTCCCATAGAAAGGAAGCAATAGCTCCTTAGTAATCCTACAGCATTCGCCTTTGTCAAAACACTGAGGACATGGGAAGCCTTCTGCCACCGGGCTGTCTTCTACCGCTGGTCTTTTCGAGCTTCTCCCTTCCAAGCACACACTAACATGAATTTGACATGGTAACAGAAAGAACTGCTAATGATCTGAAAGGGCCCTGAAAGATCTTTCAGTTATAAGGTTAAAAAGTTAACTATGCAGCAGCAACTCACGCCTTCCATATTACACTTTCAACAAAAGTTCATCCCCTGACATCTCTGCAAAGATCCACACTTTACCAACAGGCAAAGAGAAGCAGAGATGTGCATGTGACACATTTAGAATATAAAGTTCCTGGGGGCAGAGATCCAGCTGGAGTATCTCCAAAGGCATTAAACTAACCTACTGCAGTAGCCTCATCATGATCCTGCCTCAAATGTACAACACCCCAATCTGGTTTTAGTTAGGGATGGAAAGTTTTGACAATCCCTTACTCACCACCTTCTCAACACGGCTAGGTAGGACTACGCTGGCCAGAGGGATACTAACAGGGAGTTTATTGGGCTGCACTGTGCTGAGAGGAATACTGATAGGTAGGCTGGTGATAGTTTCTCCATTACTTGCAGAGGTTCTCTCTCTTAAAACCTGCAAATACAAAAGTAGATGGTTTCAGAGGGTATCACTGCTCATTAGCAAGTATGCCCCAACCACAATTGAAGGTTCTACTCGTCATACATCAGTATTTTCATGCAATACTTTGTTCCACGCTCATTTAGGTTACGTAGTATCCCCAAAGTGGCAGTATGCCACTGATAAGAGAAGGTGTTCAGACATGTTGACCATAAGGATCAAAGTGTTCACCAATTCAACCAGCAGTGACAAACCACTGGGATACGGGATGAGGGCTGGTGTTCAAAGGAATCCAAACCAGGTCTTTCTGATGGGACAAATGGAGGGTCCAGCTTTTGCCGCAATGGTGGGAAGCTTGCTCCTGTGAGACCTTGCCAGAACCTGGCAAAAGGTGCTTGTCTGACAAAATCTGTAGCATAAAAGCCTCCTCTGTGTGCAGAGCAGGCAATGGCCAGGCAAGAGCTCCACTGAAACCCAGACTCAAAAGCCTGCTCCATAACAGGGACCTCTGCACAGGAGGAGACAATTCACACTACTAAAACTGACTGAGTGGACCCGTGGCAAGATGGGTTTGGAGACGAATGCTTGTTACGAAGTTGATTAAGACAACTTAATCTTTACACCGAGACTAAAGACAACATCTGACAGCAATACAACTTTTGGCCATTAACAGCACAGTTAACTTTCAAAACCTAGACAGGAGAGTCCCTCCCCTCCACCACCACTTATCAGAATTACCACATTTTGTCCTGTTTCTTTTTCTGGTTCCACTTTGTCTTCCATTTCCCATTACACCCAATCCCAAGCTGGCCATCCATCTCCAACGACTACCAGAAAAGAAGATGTGGACACCCTCAACCTAGTACCATGG